CCCAAAGAAACAGCGGAAAATATAAGGCCGACACATATACTGCCTTTGTGGGTACTGAGTTAGAGACTGCTGACTGAATCTAGACTGTTCCACCTTCCTCAGGTTTCTAAACAATTTTTCAGCCTGTCTGGTGGGAGACCTTAATCACCTGCCTAGATCTGAAGTCCTGAGATGAGATTGTCACAGGGCAGGTTGGAAAATGATTTTATCTTCATTCCAAATACGTATTCCCAGAGTGGTAAATCTATCCTACTCTCAGGATGTTTGCCCAAACAATATCAACATGTGTGTCCTGCAGTATGAAGAACAGGTCACCCATAGAGCCGGCTGACACCTGATAAGTATAATGGTGAAAAGGGAAGGAAATAAATATATATTTTGAAGGTAATACCTTCCAGGTTTTACTTTCTCTCCCTCCCTCCCTCCCTCCCTTCTTGCCTCCCAGCCTCCTAGCCTCTCTCTCCTGTCTTTTTTTTCTTTCTTCCTTCCGTCTCTTCTTCCTCTCTCTTTTCTTTCCTTTCTTATGTCTTTGCTTTGTTTCCTGGTGAAAGAACTGCTCAGGTAGAAAGGGAAGAGAATTACATCCCCAGCAATTCCATTCCCAGGGATTATTTCATTGTCCCAACCTCACTGGCTCCCCTGGGTTGCTCTGGTAGCTGCTAACATTCCACCCAGGCAGAAGCTAGGGTACTTGGACCTCTCTATTCTCCAAACCTAGGCAAGAATGAAAAATTATTAATAATAATATAAAAAACAAGAACAAGAACAAAACCTTTAGTTCGATTGGGGTAGGACTAAAAAAATTTTTTTTTCTAAGGAATGTAAGGAAAGCCCTAATTAAAAAAAAAAAACACACACATCTAAAAAAGCATAAAATTTGGATGCATTTACAGAGTGCAAAATCTTTTTCCAAAGATACCTGTGGTCTAATGGTAGATTGATTTGACTACTGTAACTCCTTTCTTTCAATCCTCTTGGTCCTGGACGCTAAACCCTATGACTCAGACTCTACCCTGAACTTTAAATTGCTGCTGCTGCTAGGATTGGTGTGATTCTCAGTTCCCCTCCAAACTTGCTTCCCCTACCTTCTTATTGGATTTAGGGTCCTGGTTTTCCTTTCTGCTTATGGGCTGTGGTCATCTCTGCCAACATCCTTGAGCCTTGCCCTCTGATTGAGAAAAATATTTGACCCCCTGCTTAGTCACAAAATTCTTTCCCACTTTGAATTTAGACCAAACCACAGCCTTAACTTGCAGATACTATCTCCAGCTCTTTTGGTAGTTTCTGGAAGAATAAGTCGTCAGAATTCGCCTCTTGTTCCTGACTCATTTCTGTCATATTCAGTTTATTCATTTACTGAATATATATTGAGCACAAGCTGCGTACCAGGCATTGAGCTAGATGTTTGGCATTGCTTTTCCAAGTTTTTTATTATATATATTATATAAATGTTATATATTATGTTATATAAATTATATAAATGTAACCTCTAAGATTTAGCCCTCTTTCAACAAATGTTTCTTATATGACTGCAATAGACTATTCCCAAGTTCTGTGATAAGTACTAGATTGGTATTACTATTCTACCTTTTTTTCCTCTGGTGGAACATATAGCTTGCTTAAAATCAGTCAGAAAAACAAGCGGTCAAACTAGAATTCAAACCATGATTTTTTTTTTAAGTTTCCAGTTTATACCTTTATTACCTGAATTAGATTAAATGGTTCTATAATTCTTTACTATCAAGAAGCTATAAAAGAAAATAGTGATTTGTTATGCTAGCTCATACATACATACACACACATATACATATGTACACAGTTTAGTTTTTATTTTTGAGACAATTTCTTGTTCTGTTGTCCAGGCTAGAGTGTGGTAGCACAAACACGGCTCACTGCAGCCTCAACCCCCTGGGTTGAGGGCTTCAATGTATGATCCTCCCGTTCAGCCTTCAGGTGATCCTCCCACTTCAGCCTTCCAGGTAGCTGGGTCTACAGGCACATGCCACCACACCTGTCCCTGGCTTATTATTATTTTTTATTTTGTAGAGACAGGGTCTCACCATGTTGCTCAAGCTGGTCTCAAATTCCTGGGTTCAAGTAATCCTCGCACCTTGGCTTCCCAAAATACTGGGATTACAGGTGTGAGCCACTGCATCCAGCCCACGTACCCATTTTGTTGTTGTTGTTGATGTTGATTGGTGGTTTGTTTGTTTTTTTTTTTTTTTGAGGGGAGACAAGGTTTCACTCTGTCACCCAAGCTGGAGTGCACTGGCACAGTCTTGGCTCACTGCAACCTGTGCCTCCCAGCCTTAAGTGATCCTCCCACCTCAGCCTCCCAAGTAGCTGGGACTACAAGTGTGAGTTGCTACACCTAGCTACATTTTTTTTTGGTTTTTGTAGAGACAGGGTTTCACCATGTTGCCCAGACTGATCTCGAACTCCTGAGCTCAAGTGATCCACTCATCTTGGCTTCTCAAAGGAATTACATGCATGAGCCACCATGCCTAGCCCACACCACCCATTTTAATAAACTTTCTGTTTGGGGATTCTTTTAAATTTACAGAAGAAGTAAAAAGATAATCCACAGAGTTCCTGGATACCCTCAGCCTAGTTTCCCTCATTTTGTGTCACCAAGGTATATCTATCAACACTAAGTAACTGGCATTATTATTAACTAAACTCCATATTTTATTTAGATTTCACCAGTTTTTCCATTAATGTCCTGTTGCTGTTCCAGGGTCCATTCCAGGATGTGCATTTAACTGTCATATCTCCCCAGTGATCTGTGACAATTTCTCAAGTCTTGTTTTTCATGAACTTTATAGTCTTAAGAAAGTACCAGCTGGGCGTGATGGCTCACGCCTGTAATCCCAGCACTTTGGGAGGCCAAGGCGAGTAGATCAGAGTTCGAGAACAGCCTGGCCAACGTAGCAAAACCCCATCTCTACTAAAAACAAAATTAGCCAGGCCTGGTGGTGGGTTCCTATAATCCCAGCTTCTCAGGAGGCTGAGGTAGGAGAATTGCTTGAACCCGGGAGGCAGAGGTTGCAGTGAGCCAAGATCACACCATTGCACTCCAGCCTGGGCAACAGGAGCTATACTCCATCAGAAAGATAGAAAGAGAAAGAGAGAGAGAGAGAGAGAGAGAAGGGAGGGAGGGAAGGAGGGAGGAAGGGAAGGAAGGAAAGGAAGGAAGGAAGGAGGGAGGGTGGGAAAGAAGGAAAGGAAGGAAGGGAGGGAGGAAGGAAGGGAGGAAGGGAGGAAGGAAGGAAGGAAAGAAGGAAGGAAGGGAGGAAGGGAGGAAGGGAGGGAGGGAGGAGCCAGAGCCAGGAGCAATGGCTCATGCCTACAGCACTTTATTAGGAGGCTGAGAAAGGAGGATTGACTGGCCTGGGCAACATGTGAAACCCCATCTCTACAAAAAATTACAAAAATTAGCCAGACATGGTAGCACATGCCTGCAGGCCCAGCTACTTGGGAGGCTGAAGTGGGATGATTGCTTGAGCCAAGGAGATGGAGGCTGCAGTGAGCTGTATTTGTGCCACTGCACTCCAGCCTGGATGACAAAGTGAGACCCTGTCTCAAAAAAACAAAAAACAAAAAAAAAACCTGTCAGGTATCCTGTAGGATATCCCCAGTCTGGGTCTGTCTGACATTTTTCTTGTGATTAGACTGAGATATTAAGTGCCCTTCTCATCAGATCATACCAAGGGTTACATGATATCTGCATGTTACCACTGGCAATTTACAGCTTTATCATTTGGTTAAGGTAGTGTTTGCCAGGCTTCTTTGCTATCAAGTTACTGTGTTTCTCATTTGCTCCTCTATTCTTTGGCAGTAAGTCACTAAATCTAGCCTATCCTCAAGATGAGAAATAAACTTCATTTCCTATAGGGAGGAGTATCTACATGTATTATTTGAAATCGTTGTATAAGAAAGATTTGTTGACCAGGCACAGTAGCTCATGTCTGTAATCCCAGTACTTTGGGAGGAAGAGACCTGCTGGAGCTCAAGAGTTCGAAACCAGCCTGGGAAACATGGCGAAACCCTGTCTCTACCAAAAAAATAATTAGCCGGGCATGGTGGCATAGCCTGTAGTCTCAGTTACGAGGGAGGCTTAGGTGGGAGGATTGCTTGAGCCTGGGAGGTCAAGGATGCAGTGAGCCATGATCACGTCACTGCACTCTAGCCTGGGCAACAAAATGGCACCCTGTCTTTAAAAAAGTGTGTGTGTGTGTGTGTGTGTGTGTGTGTGTGAAAAAGAGAAAGATTCATTTCTTCTCTGTGAATTATTTATATCAGCATGGACTCATGTAAAACCCTGATCTAAAACTTGTGTTCTTTCTGCTACACCAGGCAAGAAATGACAAGGACCTATACCAAGGCATTGGTTTCAGGGAAATTTATTTCCAATTTCAGAGATTTTAAGAGGTAGATTTGATAAGACTAGGTGACTTTGGATGTGAGCAAGTGATGGAGAAGAGAGTGTTTTAAAATGACAGTCAGATTTTGGGTTGAATGGCAGGATATAAAATTTTGGTTTGAAACTATTTACTAACAAGTATGAAGGTTGCTTCTGTTTAGCCTGTATGTTGGCCCAGCTTTACCAAGTGCCCTGTTCTCCTAAGTCAGAGAAAACAGCTTTTCTTTCTGATTGAAGCACCAGGGCCCCCTAGTGGACAGCCCTCTGGGTCCTCTTTCTCATCTGAAGGACTCAAATTTTTTGTTTGGCTTTGGGTTTTGGGTTTTTTCCGTTAGTTCATTTGCAAAGCAAAGATACTTGATTCTATTTTCTGTCTGATAGTAAACCCTTCCAATTTCAGACTTATCAATTCACACCCATTTGTTACCTCTTCATGTTCAATAAGAGGACAGTTACCCAGTCACAATCACTCCCATGCTCTAGTACTCTAAACCAAGAGGGTTCTTGATTCTTATTTTTTAACAGATGTATTCCCCTTTCCATCTGGCACCATATTAACATTAATTCTTTGTTTCAGAGCCATCATCAACCATTTTAACCCCAAAATTGAGTCATACGCTGCTGTGAATCACATATCCCAACTGTCAGAGGAGCAGGTAAGCCACTACTCTCCCAGATGACCTAGTTGAGGCTAGGATCAAGCAGTTGCCTTCTTTCTGGTGGCAGAGGGATTTTCTCTGTGACTGAGCTTTTGTGGGGATGACCAGGGCAAGGCTGCTGAGAGGAATTAGTGTGGGATTGGTTAATAGTACTATTAATACATAGTGATACTGTGTGCTTTTGTGCCATCTGAAGGGTTTGTTAATTACATAGGAGATATGTAGGAGAAAATCTGGTGAATTATTGTTTTAGAGTGAGTGTCATGAGGTATTTTTTAAAATTTTAGGCAGAGAGTCATTTTGATTTTTGAAAATAAGAAATGAGAACTTAGAAATGGATGAAATTGCCAATTAGAAAAACCCTGAGTTCAGCTTAATTTGAAGCTATTTGGCTCTTTAAAACACAACCCTTGGAACAGATTTTCCTTAGTAATTGAGTTCCCTTTACCTTGAGCAATTATTTCTGAGGAGGTTTTTCTGTGGTGTGGACTGAGTTGGAGATGCCGATAGCCTTGTGTGTTTGTTTTCCTTGAATCTGGCCTGATTTCCCCTTCTCCCAGAGCGTCTGCACTCAGCTCTGCATTATATAAAAGTACAGATGAGGCTTAGCATGGCATGGGATTGAACTTGATGTGTCAAAATGAGACTCTTGAGTTCTTTTTTAAAAAGCACAAAATAAGACATCCTATTATTTGGTTCCCTTTCCTTTTCACCCTACTCCCAAATTGGAGAGGCCAGGGTATAGACTACAGGCCAGTAAGAAAATCACATGTACCCTGTTTTTGCCAATGCATCTTTGTAACCCGTCTTTGAGCTTCTTGCCGCAGAGCTAGCCAACCAGCTATGATATGACCATGTGTTTCAATGTTCCTCAAAGCTATTCAGCTCTCCCAGTGAAGCACCAAGCAAGCCTTTTTCCTAACAGACAAGCTTCTCAGTATTCCCCACCGGTGGCTCTTTTCTCAGCCAGATGGATAGGACTCTATTAGTCTGTCAGTTTTTCCCTTTGACATATTTGTTCTCTTTTGTGAGACCAGCTGTGAGAATCCATCCTCACATTTAAAACTGCTATTATAAATGGCCTTCATTTCCTTTTTTCCTCTCTGCCTGTGGAGCTATCCTGAGTCCTGTTCTTTGATGCTGTACTGTCTGTGAGGTGCTTTGTGATGCTACTGTTTTCTTGTTGGACTGGTTCGTATTAATTTTACTATAACATTTTAATGCAAAGTCATTCAACATCTTGAGTTTTATGCAGTAAGAGAAGGGATGACTTTCCTATCACAGTGAGCTCTGGTTAGTCTAAAAGCTTTTTTTTAAAAATAAATAAAAAGGAAGAGACATTTGCTCTGCCATCCATGTGCAGTATGTGCAGTATTCATCCCCCAGCAGCTTGGGAAGGTCAAGCTGAAATCTTTCTCCAGCAGTAGCTGCCACAGACCAATAATAAAAATCCTTTCTGGCACAGAAGGCAATCTGTGAAAGGATGATTAGCAAGCACGTGTCCTCAGCCTCCTCCAACTTCTTTCAAAGTTAAATGAAATGATGAACGTGTCTCTCAAAAAGTGTGTACATGCCAGAGACGAAGTGATTTCGGTGGAGAGGGATTTCACAGGAGAATGGGGAAGGGATAGCAAGATTGATTTACTTGGTCAATATATAATTGTATACCGGCTGGGGGCAGTGGCTCACACCTGCAATCCCAGCACTTTAGGAGGCTGAGGTGGGCAGATTGCTTGAGTCCAGGAATTCAAGATCACGCTGGGCTACATGGTGAAGTTGTCTCTACCAAAAAAAAAGAAAAGAAAAGAAAAGAAAGAAAAATCAGCCAGACATGGTGGTGTGCACCTGTAGTCCCAGCTACTCGGGAGGCTGAGGTGAATCCAGGGAGATTGACGCTTCAGTGAGCTGTGATCATGCCACTGCATTCCAGCCTGGGTAACAGTGGGACCCTGTCTCAAAATAATAGTAATAATAGTCATTATTATCATATGCCTTCCATAATACAAGTTGTGGTGCTAAGGTAGTGGGTATCAATGGTGAATAATCTGAGTCATTGCTCACATGGAGTCTTTGTGTACTCATTGCCTCTCTTAACAGTCCTTTTCACTTGGGCGTTTGGAAGAGGGTGATACTATTCTGGGACCTTCTTGAGAACCACCCTCAAAATAGTTGTTGCTTCTTTTCCCCAACTGACTTTGAAGGGTGCTAAATGACAGCATTACAGTACACTTGGTTTATTCTCAGCACTATCAGATTAGAGGTAGTTGACTGCCTTGTTTATCTCCAGCACGTGTTAGAGCACTTCTCTCCCTTCACTTATGAGCATTAATGTGAATGTCACTTAATGTTAACGGTATTCATGGCCTCTCAAAGATCTAGTTTTATGGATTGCAGTAGGGCCCTGCAGTTGTTAGCAGCAGACTGAGCAGAGAAAAAAGTCAAGAACTTAATCCTCAGTAGATTCTAAAGTACTCCTAAAATAAAACCTAAAGACCATGGATAGGTGTTAACTGGAATTCATAGCACTTAGTAAGTTAGTAGAGAAGACAGGGCTCTTTTCTATGTCTGCCTGCTCAGCTTGCCATTTTCTTCTAGCAAGAAATTTGTGAATTCTTGAATTCTGACAACCCCTAGACATATTCCAGACTCTGAGGCACTTCAAGGTGATACTTGTAAATCTATTATTGCATATTAAACAAAGCCAAGCCTTTCATATTGGCATTTCTTTTCAGACATCCAGAAGGTAAATGATATTTTTCTGTTAATTGCCATTGGCTTCATGGAGGGCAGAACTTTTTAATCAGTTAATACCCTCAATGTGACTGAATGATCATACATTGTTTTGTTTTTGTTTTTGAGATAGAGTATCACTCTGTTGCCCAGGTTGGAGTGCAATGGTGCTATCTTGGCTCACTGTAGCCTCTGTCTCTAGGGTTCAAGCAATTCTCCTGCCTCAATCTCTTAAGTAGATGAGATTACAGACACAAGCTACCACATCCAGCTGGTTCTTGTATTATTATTTTTTTTTTTTGAGAAGAAGTCTTGTTCTGTCGCCCAGGCTGGAGTGCAGCGGTGTAATCTCAGCTCACTGCAACCTCCGCCTCCTGGGTTCAAGCAATTCTCTGCCTCAGTCTCTCAAGTAGCTGGGATTACAGGCATGAGCCACCACACCTGGCATTTTTTGTATTTTTAAGTAGGGTTTTGCCATGTTTGCCAGGCTGGTCTCAAACTCCTGACCTCAAATGAGCCACCTGCTTCAGCCTCCCAGAGTGCTGGTATTACAGGCATCAGCCTCTTTACCTGGCCTGGTCACACATTTTTTAATGTAATAAACTGCATGCATTTTCATGGTATATATGCAGGTATGTATTTGTCTGGGGTTAATTTTTTCATTTTTACCTCTTTTTTTTTAATATATGTCAGAATACCTGTAAGATAAAATTTACCATTTTAACTCCCCCTGCTTTTTTTGAGATAGAGTCTTGCTCTTGTTGCCCAGGCTGGAGTGCAATGGCTTGATCTTGGCTCACTGCAACCTCCACCTCTCGGGTTCAAGTGATTCTCCTGCCTCAGCCTCCCAAGTAGCTGGGATTACAGGCACGCACCACAACGTTCAGCTAATTTTTTGTATTTTTTAGTAAAGACGAGGTTTCACCATGTTGGCCAGGCTGGTCTTGAACTCCTGACTTCAGGTGACTCACCTGCCTTGGACTTCCAATGTGCTGGGATTACAGGCGTGATCCACGGTGCCCCGCCCATTTTAGCCCTTTTTAAGTGTACTGTTCAGTGGCATTAAATACATTCACCTTGTTGTGCAACCATCTCTGCTCTCCATCTCTTCAGGGCTTTTTCATTATTTTTTACTGCAACTCTTTACCCATTAAACAGTAACTCCCCATGTCTCCTACCCTGAGCCCTGATAACCACTGTTCTGCTCTGTCTCTATGAATTTGACTATTCTAGGTACTTTAGTGGAATCATACAGTATTCGGACTTCTGTGACTAGCTTATTTCCCTTAGCATCATGTATTCAAGGTTCATCCATATTATACTATGTGTCAGAATTTTGTTCCTTTTTAAGGCTGAATAATATTCCATTGCATTTATATACTTTTTCTTTTAAAATTCATTCATTGGTGGACATTTGGGTTGTCTCCACCCTCGGCTGTTATGAATAATGTTGCTTTTGAACATTGATGTACAACTATGTGTTGGAGTCCCTGCTTTCAATTCTTTTGTGTATATACTCAGAGTAGAATTACTAGATCACAGGATAATTCTATGTTTAACATTTTGAGTAACTGCCAGAGTTGTACCATTTTACATCCCAATTTCTCCGCATCCTTGCCAACACTTTTTTTGTGTTTTGTTTTGTTTATAATAGTCATCCTAATGGGTATGATGTGGTATCTCATTGTGGTTTTGATATGCATTTATCTAATGATACATTGAGCATCTTTTCATTTACATATTAGCCATTTGTATATCATCTTTGAAATGTCTTTTCAAGTCCTTTGCACATTTTTAAATTGGAGAATTTGTTTTTTGTCTTTTTATTGTTGTTGACTGTTAGAAATTCTTTATTCTGAATGTTAATTCCTCATTAGATATCTGATCTGCTTATATTCTGTCCCATTCTGTGGTTTGTCTTTTTACTCTATTGATGGTGTCCTTTGCACATAAGACCTTGGTGAAGTCCAATTTATGTGTTTTTTGTTGTTGTTGTTGTTGCCGTTGTTGCCTGTGCTTTTGGTGTCAAATCCAAGAAGTCTAAGAAGTTATTACCAAGTCTGATGTCATGAAGCTTTTCCCCTATGTTTTCTTCTAAAAGTTTAGTTTTAGCTTTTTTACATTTAGATCTTTAATCCATTTTGAGTTAATTTTTATATATGACATTAGATAAGGGCATTTTGACCCCTTTTTGTATTTAACATATCTTTATGAATAAAGATTATGGAGAAGATACAATTTGCTTTCCTAAGAGCTATGAAACTACT